TAAATTCATTTAGGTTAACTAAGTATTCCTGAACTTCCTGTTTACTTATTCTGTGCTGCATTTCTCCTATTGTGTCCTCTTCTCCATTTTCCTCAGGTTGAACACCCTTTTCCTTTTGTGAGAAGACGGAGGCAAAGAAGCAGATGTTGGCCTTAGAGTTGTGCTGGAGGACCGACAAATACCTAGACAGATTATCTCTCATGTTTTTAAAAAAATAGTGTTAATTTTTATTTGTGGTTTTCCCACTTTCATGGTGGGACTTAACCCCAGCGAATGTGGAGTCCCCAGTGTAGTTAATGGAGACACATTGCCCAATTCTTTGCACTATGGGTTCTGGCTAAGTAGTTGGGCTAGAGAGGCTTCCATGGCTAACCCTCCTCTGTCCTGGAACAGATAGGCTCAAGTGTTTCCATGTGATGTAATAACATACAAACACACACATGTACATCTTGGTAGGGATGTTGCACAAATAGCTTGGTAAGACTTCATCAAATGAAACTCCTGTTGACTTCACTTTTACCCATTTGTCCAACATGAAATGTAATATAAATGTTTTTGGTCTGGTTCAGATTAATGCTGCATAATATATGAGGTCACTCAAGACAACCAAGAAGAAGCTTTTCCTATGAAAGAGATTATGAAGTTTTACTTGCTCTTAGAAGCAATAGGCTGGGTACTGATTTCGAATCCACATTGTGAAAGAAACCCTCTTTTTACTAGAAAATTGCTTTATTCTCTGGTTGAGAAGAGCACCCTGTACTGCCAAGGTAATAGTACTTGTAGTAACATCTTTTAAATGGTGATGATTTCTTTACTATCACAGTGGGTTTTTCCAGCTGTGGCTAAGTTAGCACACCATTTTTGTGTTTTATTTTTTATAAGTCTGACTTTATATTCTCTTGACTTACTTACAACTACATACATTCTCCAGTTATTGTTTGAGATGCCTATTTTGCCAGAATTATTAAAAATCCCTGGGTCTGCCAGTGAACCTTATCACCAATGGGGGCTTACACAAGCAGAACAGACTTACTAACAGGGATGCGATATAATATTCCTTAGAAGGATACTGTATGAGGTTTGGAAAGGTCCACTGTATTCCAATTTTTAAACGGAAGCAGAAGTGATCATGCCAAATTTGGTACTCTTGTTCAAGGAATTATCCTGTCAGATCCAGCCCATGATATTCTTCTGTCTGAGGAGAAGCAAGAAATGGTACCCCACCCATCGGAGTCAAGATGTACCATACATAAGGCCAGCCAAAACAGAAAATCCAACAAGTCTGTTGCCTAGCAGTAAAAATGCAGTAATAATCAAGTAACAATCGATGCAGACCGGCCTAAAGGGGTGGCACAGAGCCGCCACTGGGAGCAGTGGATCGGGGCCACTGCACCCGCATGCTATGGCCCCGATCCTCCTTTTTGCGGCCTCCAAAAGAGTGGCAAAATACTGCTCCTTTTGGGGGCAGCAAAAGGCTGCCCCTTCAGCCACAGTGGCAGCTGTGCCAAGAGGGCTTCCTGACACCGCACAGTATGCAAACAGGCGCACAGCATCAGGACAGCATCAAGGTGGAGTCGGGGTGACAGCCATGCGGCTGTCCCGCCCCAACTTCACCCCCAGGCCAGCCCTTTAGGCCAGTCTGCAAAGCTAAGTAGTATAGTGGTTTGAATGTTGGACTATGACTAGAGACCAGGTTTCAAATCCCCACTTAGCCATGGAAACTCACTGGGTGACTTTGGGCAAGTAATATTCTCTCAGCCTCAGAAGAGGCAAAGGCAAACCCCCTCTGAACAAATGTTCCTAAGAAAACCATGTGATAGGGTCACCTTAAGGTTGCCATAAGAAATATCTTGAAGTCACAATACAACAAGTACAGTAATGATCTAGAGCAGGGGTAGGCAACCTAAGGCCCGGGGGCCAGATGCAGCCCCCTGAGGCCTTTGGACCAGCCCCAGGCCGGTCCTGCCGCCACCGCTCCCCCACTGCCGCTGCCGCCCACCATGATGATATTGATTATTGTTGTTATTACTTGTTCTTGGGATTTTCTTGGCAAAATCTCCACAGGGGTTTTGCCATGGCTTTTCTGGGGCTGAGAGAGTGTGCATGTATATTTTTATTTTATTTATTTATTTATTTATTTATTTATTTATGTTTTGTGCTTCAGCCCCCCAATTGTCTGAGGGACAGCAACCCGGCCCCCGGCTCAAAAAGGTTGCCTACCCCTGATCTAGAGTTTGTTGCTCTTATATGACTACCTAAATCTGTTGCTTGAGTGGCTGGTTCTCCCAGGTTAATGATAGGTAAGGCACTGAATCTGTAATACTAGCAGACAATAGATTAAGTAGCAACAAGACATTTGATCAGACTCTTATTTCTTAAAATCTGCCCCATCTTTGGTCTGTGGAAGAGCATTGACTCACACAGATTAGCCCTTGTTTTGTAACAAGCCAGATCAATATCATGGGTGAAGATCCTGATGCAGTGGCATAGGAATACACTTCCACATTGAGTAAGACTGGGAATTGGTCATGACTGGATAAACACACCAGCAAGCAGAACACATTTCTGAACACAGCACCAGTATCTGGAGAATAGGATGTTTACTGGGAATACAGAGGCTGGTCATCCTTGACCAAGACATAGCAACAGTCACAACATATTCACGTAAGCATGGCTGCTGACAAAGGCTAAATACAAAATACTTCAATTGTTTCTTGGTTGCCTCAGAAGGCAAAGTGTTCTTTTTTCTTCTTAAGGGATAGCAGGATAGCAGATAGATGCTTTCCCAAATACCTGAGAAGTTATTTATGTGGAATAGCCACAGTGTAATCCTATACTTTTCTGCTTCGGAGTAAGCCCTTGTGGGCACGGTGCAAAATAGATTTGCAGCCTACATTTTTTGGCTATCAAGTAGCTTGAAAGCATTCCCTCATGAAACCAAGCCTTTCTTCCCTGTCCAAAGAAGTGTTTAATAATACAAGTGTGAGTGAGTGAGTGGTGTGTGTGAGAGAGAGAGAGAAAAGAGACAGAGACAGAGAGATGGCACTAGGGCCTGAATAGTAATTTCATTGGTTCTGATGGTCCATTTTCTGTCTCTTGGATCCTCCAGGGGTTTCACAAATTGCCAAAAATGTCAAAATATGAAAATAAAATAAAAACAAAAATGGCTGGAAGTCAATTTCTGGTTTTCAGGGTCTCTATATGGAGCAGTTAGGCAGCGGTGAAACCTATTTAATAGGTTAACTGCTTCTCATGATGGTGGTGGTAGTGTTGGTGGTTATTTATTTTCTCTCTAGCTTTTCCCCAAAACTGAGACTCAAGGCAGCTTACAATTTACAATGACTAAAATATAGCTACAACAAACAAAGCCCAACAGTAAAGCAAAATTAAACTATTAACAACATTAAAGTAGAACATACACAAATCTTTGGATCTGGAGGGGTTGAGGGTATGAGAAATAACCTTGAGGTTGCGTGAGGCACCAAGAGAACACTTTTTACATCCTTGCACAAACATCTATGCTGTGGGAGACTTGATCATAAGTCAAAGATCAAGAACTCTCAACACAAACCCTCTTTAAATGTAACAGAAATGAATTGCACAAGAATCATAGAGTTGGAAGAGACCTCAAGGGCCATCCAGTCCAACTCACTGCCTTGAAAGAATCCACAATCAAAGCATCCCCAACAGATGGCCATCCAGCCTCTGTTTAAAAACCTCCAAAGAAGGAGACTCCACCACTCTCTGAGGAAGTGTTTTCCATTCTTGAACAGCTCTTACTGTCAGAAACTTCTTCCTAATGTTGAGGTTAATCTCTTTTCCTGTAGTTTGAACTCATTGGTGCAAGTCAGAGCAGGGCAGAGTAAGGAAAAAATTATTTTCAAAAGTGTTCATTTCTGATACTGGTTACTTAAAAACTGCTTGCAGGACAGTTCCACTAGAAGGTGTAATACTAATAGAATCACTCTTAATAAGTCCCTGCTAAATCATCAAGAAAGTGGAAGTGGTTTATTATAATCAGTCACTGCAACCTTCAACTGCTCAACAGCAAAGAGATCATCTGGCTTTTGCCATTGGCAGGAGATCAAGGGACACTGTGAGGTTGAACTCCTTATTGCCCAGGAAAAACTTCATGGCAAGAGAAAGACCCACCCTACATCATACAAAGAAATAGCAACTGCAGAGAGCTCACTTTCTCCCATCCCAGAAAGAATAGTCAGCTCCAAATGTCAATTGCCCTCTGGACAAAGGAAGGTTAATCTGGACTCATTCACTGGCTAAAGGACCAAGGCTCAGTGGTCCTTAATGATAATGGTAATGCAATGATAATATAGTGGGCATTTAGTATCCACTGCGATTTGGTTCTAGGACTCCACATGGATAACAAAATCTGTGGATGCTCAAGACCCAGTCAATACAATAGTGCAATAAAATTGTGTCCCTTAAATAAAATGGAAGAATCAAGATTTGCTTTTTGGAATTCATAATTTTTTAAAATGTTTTCAAGCTGTGGATACTTGAATCTGTGGATAAAGAATTCATGGATATAGAGAGCTGACTGATAATGCAAGCAAGCAAGAATAATGATAATGCAAGCAAAACTGGGAAAGGCTGTGTTGTTCAATGGCATGTACGCAGGGATAGCTGTGCTGGACATTTAGCAATTTCAAACAAAAATCCACCAAACAGTGATACCTTTATTGGCCAACCAAAATGCACAATATACTTGTTGCAGGCTTTCGAAGCTCCACTTCAAAGTGGAAGCTTTGAAAGCTTGCAACAAATATATTGTGCATTTCGGTTGGCCAATAAAGGTATCACTGGTGGATTTTTGTTTGAATTTGTTCAGTGGCAGTAGGCATGTTCTGTATGCAGATGGTCCCAGATTCATTCTGCACATTTTTAGGTACCAGGAAAAGTATTGTCTTAGAAAACAGCTGCTAGGATGTAGAACACATGGTCCTCCAACTGTTCTTCAGTCATACCTTCCAATATCCATCACCGGTGGCTATACTGATTAGAGCCAAAGGGAGTTGTAGTTCAACAACCTATGAAGGGTTATATGTTCCCCAGCCCTTACGCAACCAAGCATGAGTTCAATGGACTATGTTCCAAAGGTAATTAGCTGCCAGGAAGGAGAAGGAAACATTTTGAGTGGGGCTTTGAGGGGTTTTTTGTTTGTTTGTTTTTGCTCAGAAGAAGAGAGTCAGAGACTTGCCTCCAGAATAAGATAGCATCCAGGAAACCTCTGTAGAGTTAGAAACCCAGTTGACTGAGCTCACTGACAGAGCCTGGTGAAAAGGCCAAGAGAACAGGGGCCCTTTACAGGGGTCTTTACCAGGGGACTTTTTGAGGAAGAAGCCCACAGTCCTGTTTCAGTGCTTACTTAATACTTCTCCATATGGACACTGAGGGAGTTGCTGCAGTCACCTGCAACACTTGTGAGATGTTTGTCTTCTTGCCAAGAGATGTGGGGAACTTCACCTGCACCAAGTGCAAGTTGGTAGCCCTCCTGAAAGAGAAAGTACAGCAGCTGGAGGCCTGGGTAGCTACACTTCAGCATATTAGGGAGCAAGAGGTTTTCCTGGACAGAGCAGACAGTGCAGGGGACCCTAAGAGTACTACCGCAAGGAACAGCCACTGCTAAGCCTCGGAGGAGGCATGTGGTGGTGGTGGACTCCTTGTTGAGGGATACTGGGTATGTTTAGCCTGGAGAAGAGACGGTTAACAGGGGATATGATAGCCCTCTTTAATTATTTGAAAGGATGTCATATTAAGGAGAGAACTAGCTTGTTTTCTTCTGCTCCAGAGAATGGGACTTGGAACAACGGATGCAAGCTACAGGAAACGAGATTTCAGCTCAACATTAGGAGGAACTTCCTGACAGAGAGCTGTTTGACAATGGAACACACTCCCTCAGAGGGTGATGGAGTCTCCTTCTTTGGAGGTCAACTGTCATGGATGGTTTGATATTGCATGGCAGGAGGTTGGACTGGATGGCCCTTGTGGTCTCTTCCAACTCTATGATTCTATGATTCTATACTGATGCCTATATATTAGCTCCAGTATCACAGGCAATATGGAAAAACACAAGCAAGAGGACTCTAATACATTTGTATCTTGCTTATGGGGTTCTATAGACAACCAGTAATACTGGACTAGAAAGGCCTTTGGTCTGACCCAGCATGCTGTTCTTCAGTTATAATGGAATGCTCTGCTATTTCATCACTTGTTTCAGACAGCAAAATTACTTGAGATGGCACTGCTTATCTATCTCTGGTCCCACTGGGTTTGTTGCACCAAATTTTGCAGTCCTTGAAAGAAGCAAGAGTACCCTTGATTCATTCCCTTCATCTACCAAGCTGGTAATTTTAAAGCGGCGAGAGTCAGCGCTTGAGGCCGGCGTTCCATCTGGGCCGG